TTCTTCAACTTCAAGGAACAATCAAAAACATTATTGTGTTATCCTTTCTTATTTGGTGTCTGGATTAGCTGTGACTAACTAAAACATAGATAGTTAAAATTAGTTTACTGATTTATGGGATATTAAAAATTGTTGGTTAGCTAAGAAATTTTACCTTCCATATTTTTTCTTTACTTGTAATTTCTAAAATTACATATTTTCATGTTGAAATTTGAGCTGAAATTTTTGGAAAATGTGGTACTAGTTCCAAATCGCTACAGCAAGATGGCAGCTGTTTTCAAGATCACTTTCAATAATCCACTATTGATGGAATAGTGAAACAACCTTGAATGTATCCGAAAGTAGATGTTCTCCAACCATTGTAACAGATTGTATACTTTTTTTACTTTCACTTACGTATTTTAGGTTAAGTCAGCTTAAGTCCTCATATATCTACTTATATTTGTATATAAATAACATCAACATCTCTGTTGTTCTTTCAGATTATAAAGTAAATTTTATTATCTTTAATGAAGTTCAGTTTATACCATTGTGAGAAAGATAGTAAGAGAAACTTTTTTTTTCAGTTTTTCCTCAGTAAATTGCTTTCTGTGCATTTTAGGCAAAAATATTTCATTACATATGTTTGTCATTTGTTTCTGAACATTTTACAATATTGGGGGGCCCAGTACATGCTGTATGACCGGGAGCCCTGTTCTTGTGATATAAAAAAGAAAATATTCGATAGAGGAATACTTGTGAATGATGCTACCAATTGTTTGTCAAAAATCGCTTTATTTTTGTTTTTTAAACAATGTGAAGGGGCAATCTGTTCTATTGCAAATTAATCTAATAGTTTGACATACAGTTTGATGAGGGGCCACTCCCGCGCCTGTGGTCCGCCTTCTCTCTCTCGTCGCTCGTCCAAAATTTTGGAGCTGAGGTGTATAGCCGAAGGGCCGTAATCCTCTTGTTAGCCCCTGGCTGTCTTTCTTGAAGTTGGCTGAGCAAGTAGGTCGTAAGCCATCTGGTTCTGTACTTCGCCTGCTAGCATCTGATGACCCTTAGACGTAGATAACGCCGTCTTAGAGAGGGTTTAGGACAGAACGAGACCGGGGGCTCCCTGTGTTATTATTTCAAAGCAAACAATAAATATGTGGTATATAATACCAAATGATATATAATTATGATAAATATGATATTTAATAATAATAATGATATACAAAAAAGATGGATGTAAATCCAACAAACACGATTTTCAATACTCTGCTACTTTTGGGTTTCGTTTACTGTGTGGTCAAAGTGATATTGAAACCAGTTAAAATATTAGTGTAGGGATTTGGAGCTAGAACCAAAAATATTTTAAATTAATAATTAAAATGGATCACATTACATTATACTAAAAATTTTGATTATCCAGCATAAAGAAAGGTTAAGAAGACTTATGTGATCAAAACACAAAAAGGTGAATAGAACTTGCGTCTTGCTTTTATGAAAACATACATGTTTAGATACAATAAAATGAAAATTTCTAAATTTAAAAAACAAAAATGCTTTACCGGAGAAGTATTTAGTGATTATTTTCTTTTCTATTGATGAAACAATGGATTTAAATTTTATAGCAATATTCATAAAATTAAAATAAACCAAAGACTCATATATCTACTTATATTTGTATATAAATAACATCAACATCTCTGTTGTTCTTTCAGATTATAAAGTAAATTTTATTATCTTTAATGAAGTTCAGTTTATACCATTGTGAGAAAGATAGTAAGAGAAACTTTTTTTTTCAGTTTTTCCTCAGTAAATTGCTTTCTGTGCATTTTAGGCATTGAAAGCAATTTGAAAAAATATAAATTGTAAAAAAAAAAGAAATAATTATGTTGGATAGAAGCTGCAAAGGAATCATTAGATTATATGGATCCATGAGAAAATTAAGATGTTTTTTTCTATGTTATTATATTTTGACCTTACCTAAATCTAATTACTCTAAAAAAAAAAGTGGCATTTTTTAAAATATTTAATTTTTAAAATTTTGTTTCGTCCAATAGTGAACAAAAATTTAAAATATAACTATTGTAATAGCAAGAGATTTGAGTGATGTCATATAAATTTTTTCAACTTTCTGAAAAAGTAAGAGATTTGCCTTTGATATGGAGGCACTCATATATGTGAATCAAAATACTAATCTGAATATACAAGTATAAATAGATAATATTTTAATTAATTAGTTATTGAAATGTTACATTTTAGAGAAAAATGACTCATGTTATAAGAAAGGATTTCACAATTATTTGCTGGATAATCAAGGTTTTATTGTATCTGTTTTGTTGATTATCTTCCATATTATATTATGTATCACTAATTATAAATAAGATCTGTTTTTATATGAAGTATTTATATCTTGATTGCAACAGTTATTACTTCAGCCATGTAGGAGAGCTTGGCTGGTTACAACTGTAGTGACGACGGGCAATGAAAGAATTAATTTATTTGAAAATTGTATACAGTAAATCTCTAGTCCTTATGTTTTAGATTGTTTGCCTCTCTTACTTTTTTATGACTATTAAGTAAAATAATGAAATTGTGGTTATATAATTTTATATAAGAAATAATCTTTCATGTTTTCAACAGGAATTTAAGATTATAATTTAGATATTTTTCTACTATTGTTACAAATTCAAATATCAATGTCACGAAGAAACCATTCAACTTCAAATTCTATTTATATTGTAAATTGTTATAAATTTTCTGAAAAAACAAAACAAAAAAGATTTGTATGATTGGTATAAAAATTAGCCAATTGCGACTTTGTTTTCCTCTATTTCTTTTCATTAGTAAAATGCTGCCTCGTTTTTTAAAAGGATCACTTCAATGTATTACAGTGCCATGTTATATTATTGTAGATAGATTTAATATTTTTCATATTTGTCTTTCATTGTCATGTTATTATCAACCGATAGTTAATTTTAATCTATATTTTTAATGTTATCAATGTTGTTTTTTTATGATTGTTTCATTTTCAATAAAAGACTACATAAATGAATATGTTCTCTAATATTTTTTTCTCTTATTAATTATTTAATATAATCAATTATTTATTTTAATAAGTGCCTCATCAGCTTGGATCTGAAGTGAGTACTAATTTAAAGTTATTGAGGAAATATAGGTGCTGCCTGAGACAGTATTTTTATTTGGCTTTTATTTACATATGTTTTATTTAGTTTTATATTTTATGCTAGTCTTGTGATTTGGAATGTTTAATAATTTCTCCCTCTTATTTTATTTTATGTTTTTGTTTTAACGTTTATTTTTATTATTTATATATTATTCATTAAATTTCATAATTCAAAATTGTCATGGTTCTATATATATTTTTTTCTACTGTTTTAACCCAAATCAAATTATTTTAAATTAATTGCCATTGCTTTATGAAAGATCAATTGTTGTCAGGTATAGTGGACTTCACTTTTATTTAATTCTATGAAAAGAAAATCAGGAATTAATCCAGCAATGAAATGAATGGAGACTGATTTGAAATTATGATGTATTTAATGATTGATATATTTGTTTATATTTTTTTTTATTTTGTTATTATTGATGACTATTAAATTTATCAATTTCAGTGCTATTTTAGATTTTATACTCTGGAAAAAGATATTATGCATCCAAGAACCTAATAAATATTTTTAAGTCAAACTTTTTAAAAGAAAGTTTTGAGGATCTAACATCGTTTTCATCTACAAATAAAGAGATATTGAATAAAACCATTATTATTTTTAAAAGTGATTTTGTGTCCATATTTTTTTTTCACAGAATGAATCATATATTTATTTATTACTATCATAATAATAAAGAAAAAGTGGATTTTGCTTCTAATTTGACTAGATATTGAATTGGATTTATATACATTTATTTATTCAAATGAAAATTATAAGTAGATCTAATTTCATTGATTTTGTCCCATTTTAAATATATGTTCCATCCTCAAAACTTTTGATTAATGGAAATCAAATAATGATTTTAGAAACATTTAAATTTTGGTTTTTGAATTTTTCTTTAACCTCCTATCTTCTTCCACCCTGTCCCCTCTGTGTTAGTATAGTGACCTTTTTATCAATTAGATCAGACAAGTTTATTCCTTTTACTATTATAATGTTTTGTTTTCTTCATTAAACAGCTATTACTTGAAAAAATCTGCAATGCTAATATTTGTAATTCACAATATTTACAAAGATATTCAAGAAAATATATGTTTACATATTTATTTTAGAAATGTAAAAGTAAACACAAGTTAATATTTATTTGAAATTAAATAGTATTTTTAAACTCTAAACTAAAAAATAATAGTAAGAGTTTCGTACTTTCAGAATAGCTGTTTTAATAGATATTCCTACAAGTATTATTGATCTGATATTTATTTATTTGTTTATTAAACTATGTGATGAATTTGACAGATTGATCAATTTTAAAAGAAGATATGACTTACCTGCTTAAAACTGTTTCTTATTTATATTTATAATTTTTTTTTGTGATTTTTCTGAAGATTGGATATTAATATAGTTTTGTTCTATTTAATTTTCTTTCTTTCAAAATTGATCATCAGTATGATTATATACTTTGTATACAACATTTTTAGGATTTTCATTGAGCTTTTCTGTTGCACCTCTCTTGTATTTTTCGTTACTTTATTGTTTCACAGATAAGACGATAGTTGTGGTGAGTAACTCCCCAGATAAAAGAGAGTTTACTGTATTATAAATTGCTAACTAATTCACTCATTTTAGTTTGTTCCTCAAAATCTAATGATATGTAATATGGAAATTACTTATAAATAATTTTATTATTGATTTTTCATATTTATCCTCTTTACTGCATTAATTTTGATATTTCAAAGATGGAATTATAATCATGCTCAATGAAATTATTGTCAATGTTCTGTTCGAAAACTATTATTTTTTATTTTTTATTTTTCTGAATTTTTCAAGAACAAATTATTTATATCTGTTTTGTAATAGTTGCTGTAGTTGAAGTTGAAGACAACAGGGCGAATTCACCTACAGATAAAAGGCTTCTGAACAATACGCCGCACCACAAGTATAATAATATCAATGTTATTACATCAACGCCCAAAGTTAATGGGGTTTCCATCTCTTCAAACAGGTAAAATTTAATTAATTTTAATACATTTTTTTGATGATTTTAGAAAATCAAATTTTATTTATTTTTTTAAGTGATTATGAGTTACTGAGGAATTCGATTTCTAGAACCTCTGATTTTTCTAATCTAAACGGTTTAAAACTGCTACAATGCCTATTTAGTATTCCTTATAAAAGAAATAGTCACACTAGAATACTGTACATAAATTCATCTACTATTATTGACGTAGATGCTTTACCCGTCTTGCATCTATCTTACGGCTTATTGATTTATGTTTAATGTGTTTGGCTAGATAGCATTTAGATGGTAGACTTTATTGACATTTAAAAATTATTTGTCCATTTTAAATTTTGGAGTTTCTTGTTAGGGTGTTGAGATATCAACATATACACGGACATTAAACAGGATACAAGGACACTTTATACTACAGGAGATTTTCAACCTACAAAGTAATAGGTCTCCTGGTTCAGTCAATAACTTTATGAGGAAATGGTTTTGCATTATCTAAAATAAATGTATAGCAATAATAATAGGCATAAAATTCAATAAATCTAGTTTTAAAATTTAAAAAAAATTAATAAGTAATAAATAAATTACAATGCTTGTTTAGCAGTTATTGAACCTGCACTGCTTTTAGCTTGAGCACGCTAAAGTGGTCCATCTTGCACAGTCTCATGGCCTCTTTACTTTATTTATTTGTTCAGGTGTTTAACTATGTATTAAAAAAAAAAAAAAAAGTATTATGGATTTCCTTTCATAAATAACAACAAATTCTTCATGTTTGTCTATATTTGCTTTTACTTATAGTTTATTTTTGATTATTTTTACAGTGAATTAAACTCACCTCAGCTGAGCCCCCTGAAAACACTGAAGGAAGATTCTCAGAGGATTCAAGGAAGTGGTGATACTCTTGATGGTGAAGTAAAGAAGAAGGTATTTTTTATTAATATATATTTATGTAAATAAATTAATTATAATAAAAAGTTAATTGTTTGAGAATAATTAGTACAGTGTTGTTTACTTATTTTTTGATGAGATATTAGGGAGACCGGAAAGTAATGTCATTTTCATTCGACACATAAATTTTAAACTAGTTTTTATTGTTGATCATCTTCATTTTCAACAACTTTTTGTCATCTAGTGTGTAAATTTTCAATGTCATATCGATAAAAATCAATTGGTTTTTGAGCAAAACGTATAAAGATGGCATTTTGAATATTACCCAAATTTACAAATCTTTTACCACTTAGAAATTGTTGAAGCTTGAAGCGAAATAAATGAAAACCTGATAGTGCAACATTTGGCGAGTATAGTGGGTTTGGCAGTACCTCCCACTCCAATTCATTAATTTTTCCAAGAGTTCATTTTGCAGTGGGCGGTCTTGCATTATCGTATGGCTGAATAACGCAATTTCTGTTGACAATCACTAGCCGCTTTTCAATTAAAGCTTGATTTAAATGATCCAATTATTCACAGTAAAGGTCTGCATTCACAGTTTGTTCAGGTTTCAGCACTTCAAAATGAATAATGCCACGAATACTCCACCATACACCCAAAAGGCCTCTTGCAGGGTGTAAACCTGGATTAGCAATAATTTATGGCGATTCATTTGGAGAAAGCCACTGCCTTTTGCGTTTTGGATTATCATAGAGGACACATTATTCATCTCCAGTGATCAAGCAATGAAAATATCCTTATGTATTGTGTCATATGCATAAATACTTTGCAGTCCTCCTAATACATACTGAAAACTTTCAATTTAAAAAATGAATAGATTCATTTTGGCTTATTTTTATCAATAAACAGAGAAAAGAAGTTTCATTCAAAATGATGTTATGTTTTCTAAAATCTAAATTAAAGAAGCATTTAATATTTTTTCATTTTATAAAAAAATAAAATAGTTCCACGTAGATTTTTTTTGTTTTTAATGTGAACTTACTTTACTTTTTTTGTTTTATTTATTCCAAAGAACTTGATTTTCCGTGAATATGTTTACTGCCTAACAATGAGTAATAACACGGTATTATGTGTGCATTTGTTTCATGATCTATAATTTTAAAATCTAACAAACCTTTATATGGTGTTGAATTTAGAAAGTTACTACAGACAGAGCTTACTTCATTGCGAAAGAAATGATGATGACAGAGAGAACTTATAGGAAAGATTTGGAAGTAATTAACCTGGTAAGTTTTTTCTTTTTAAAATTATTATCATTCAGTTACAATTATTGTTATCTTAAGTGAAAATTTAAATGTAATCTTGTATGAGGGTTAGATAAATACGTAGAATGAAGGATGGCGTTATAGGCATCTTTAGTCCTATTGCCTTCAAGCCTCTAGGTTCACTAATCTTATTAGCCTGAATACTTAAGATACAAACAGGCTTAATGTGATTTTCTGTATTTCAAGTTATGTGTTTCAAACCTAAGTTTTTTTAATGTTTTTTTGCATCTAATAGACCAAGTGATATGACTGTTATAACAAAGATTATAACCTCTTTGTAATAATCATATCACTCTATACTTGGAACAGACTCATAACTTAAAATCCATAAAATAGCACAACCCTCCAATCACAAGGTGTTTTATGTTCATTAAATTAAATTATATTTTCTGATTTGTATATTATTTATAGATAACAAAGCAACGATGAAATATTTGCCATTAATTAGATAATAGTATTAAACTTGAACTAAACTAGTCAAAATATTTTTTCTTTATTTATCTACTATTTAATTATTTTTGTTTTATTTTTAATCTCTTTAACATTTTAGTGATTTATTTTTGTCTTTAGTGGTTGAGAGATGAATTTGACAAAGTAGAAGAGAAAAGTATTACTGAGCTTCTTAGGATAATTGATCCACTTCATGATGCACACTGTGCTCTTCTTAAAGAAATAGAGATGAGGTACGGAGCTTCTGAAACTAGAAATGCTAGCCAACATCGGATCGCTGATATACTTTTATCTGCTACGCAGTATATTCCAGTAAGTTAATATATTTTTTTATAAATTTTATTTGTTATATCATCATATATGAATATGAAACTTGTTTTTTAATGTCTTGTTGAAACCATGGTTTTTGTCCATTATTTTGCTTCCTCACTACTGAAGTTTGTGAAGCATGAAAGAAGTAAAAAAAAAATCAGAATGAAAAATGTCCTTACTTCTACTTTAATTTAAACATGTTTTCCTTGAACCTATATTTAAAAAAACGGATTATCTGATTTGGTCTAAAGTTGACAAAAATGTAAGGGTTATTGTAAAGATGGTCCAGTTTCAATCTAATCATATTGATGTGGGAAAACATATAATATTTGTTTGTGTTTTGTAATTCTTAAAAACAAGAAAAAAACTATAAATTATAACATTAAGTTTTTTTTTTCTTACATACCCACTAGAAATAATGAGAAAGTTGTACTAACCTGTTTGGCAGATGTTTTTAATTCATTATGCTGAAAGTTCATGATATTATTATTGAATAATATTAATTTACAACTTACTCGAACACACAGCATCAAATGATATTAATAAAATATTTTAATATTATTGCAATCCTGTACAGAAGTTGTGACAAACAGTCTGGCACAAAATAAGAAAAAACCCTCAATAATTGCATTGCTAAACATCATTGCTTACTCATTAGCCCCTATCAAACTTAATCAGTTTATTAATCTCTGATTAATTATAATTGATACTCATAATCAGTTATTGCATCAATGTGTAATCATCAACCTTTCTTCATAGCTGATTATAAAAAGTATGTAAGCAATTAACCTAATTTATTGTTTAGGGAATCAGTCTTAACATGTTTATGTTAACAATTAATTTGAACATTTATTTTAATTAAAGTCTATAGTAAAAATCCTCTTATATTGCTTATTATATTTATTAATTACTTAGTAAGAAAAAGAACCAATAACTAAAAAAAATCTATAATGAACCAAATCTCTTCCAATTATTACTTTCACTATGTATGTAATATAATACTATGTAAGGAATTATTGTGATGGTGAAAATGTTCAATGGAAATATATGTTTTGATGTTTTGAGGTCCCCTGAGTTCAAATAACCAAGTCCCATAAAGTGATCTGTGTGCGTAAAGTATCTTTAATTTTTTTTATTTGAAATAATTGACCATTTCACATTTTTTTAGCCTGCGATAAAAAATATTAAAAATGGTTAAATATAAAATATGAAGGAATTTAGTAATTAAATAAAAGAGAAATAAGGGATCATAAAGGAGAATAGTAGTAATGAGGGGGCTGAAGAAACCCGAGTGCACATCCGAGATTAACCGAAAGGTTTGAATAGGCTTCCATACGTGCTTAATATAATAAATATTTTCTGACACTTAATTATTTATTTTAATCAAATTAATAATTAAAATATAGAGTCGTTAAAGGAAATGTTTAGTGACAAAAAAACATTAATATAATACATTAGACAGCTATGAAAAAACATATGGTAATTAATTGTTTTAAATAATATTTTGTACCGCCTATAATTTTTACTTTCACTTCCCTTGGTCTTCAAATACTTATTTCTGCTTAAAAAAGGGGGGTAAATCAAAGTTGTGCGATGTGCGCACCCACCAGGTTTTTTAATTGTTCAGTTACTATTCACTGATCAATATTGAAAATCACTGATAATTTTTGTTATTAGCTGTTTATTACGGACTCATTAATAACATTTTAAAATACTCCTTTAAATTAGATTCACTAATTTAAATTAAGAGGCAACAAAATAAAAATAAATAAAATAATAATAATTAACTCCTTTAGATTTATCAATAGTAACAAATCTTTAGTTATATACATTATATATAGTTATAATAATAATACATAATTGTATATTAATATACTCGACTTATTGATTAAACTCTTTTAGATTTATTTTGAGATAGGTAATTAGAAAACTGATCAATTATAAGGAAAAAAAAAAATTGTCTGGAATTTCAGTCAGAATTTTTTTCCTGACAATTTTTTTCATCTTTATAAGTGATCAGTTGATTAATTGCCCATTTCTAAAGTGTTAAATATTGGGATCTACTCAAAGCAACTCAAAACATCATAAATATAAGCTGTCTTCTAGATATCATTTGGTTCACAACTCAGCTTGATCCATCTCTACCTTCATTACAGAATTTGCCATACTTTGCTGAAATTTCTCAGCACAGACCAGTTTCTCCAGAACACTGTTCTCTTCCTTCTTCACCGCAGGTTTCTTCATCACATTCTGTACTCTCTTCTAATAATATACATACAAGAACTGAGCCCTGAGGATGACCCACATGTTTGGGTTTTTTCATCCTTTAGATTTATTAATTATCTCATTTAAATTAGATTTATTAAGCAGCTAATTTTATTAAAATTTACATAATCAATAGGAATTCTATATTATAAATATTGAATACAGACCTATGATAACTTTAAGCATTGATATTTCTTATAATATAAACCCTCCTCCACATAGAAACACAAAAATATGAGAATCATCAGTTTTTTTTTGTTTTGTTTTTTACAAAAAGTTATTTAGAAGTACTTCATCCATTTATAATAAACTTCACTTAATATTATCAATCTTTTATCATTTCAATGTTTGTTTATTTTCAGATCTATGAAGACTATTTACATGAGCATTTAGATGTCCTAGTCCAATTGAGTAAAGATCTTTGTAATGACGCGTTCGAGCAGGTTTATACCAATTTTGAGAAGAATAAAATTTGTTACCTCCCCTTAACATTATTTATTTTGAAACCTATTCAGCGTATTTTACATTACTCACAACTTATTGACCGTAAGTTAATAAAACATTTTTTCTCATTAATATCCTTACATTAAATTTATTTTTACTTTGAATATTTTATTATTTATTTATATATATTTATTAAATAACTTATCTGTCTGAAAAATTTAAAAATAAAATTTGAAACTATCTTGTCATACAATGTTCTTTACTTTTTTAAGGTCTTAAGAAACATTATGGATACGACCATCCAGATCATGGAGATTGTGAGGAAGCTGCTATAAAATTTGCTGACATTATCAAGCAAATACCTGGAGTCCTTCAGAAATCAGTACGTGTATTGATAATTTATTTTGATTTATCTTATGGAGCTGGGAGATGGGGCCAGTCTTGTTCACATCTCGGAGCTTCCTAAAATTCGAAACTGATGATGAACTTCTTAGTATTGTATATTTATGAAAAACAAATTTTCTCTTCTAACATTTGATCCAGTAGTTCCAAATTATTTTAATCAAAAACTAGGCTGTGTTGTGTATGGTTGGGTGTGTTGTAGATCACTAGTAAGTGTTCCATGATTTTACTACAAAAAATGGTTTTACACCTTGATACCATACATGAGATGTATAGTTCCCAAATCAGCCAACTCCATTTTCTATTTTTTTATTATCTTTTTTATTAACTGTTTTGGACTAGATTATGATAAGGTAAAATAAATTCTTTCATCTCATAATAATCTATCAAAAACTATTAATTAAAAAAGAAATAAGTAAAAAAACAATAATTAGGTATGGACAGTTTTGGAATTTCTATTTTTAAATAATCCAATAACGTAATCTCATGCAAGAAAAACTGAAACCAGATATCCATAAAATAAAACATTGCTCTACTAACAATTTAAAAAAATCTTTAAAGAAATACCAAGATTCAAAAATATAATCAAAGCCATATTCTCAGATTTCCTTAGTTTTATGATTTTTAAAAATTTTATTCTAAATGAAATTGTTTTTAGGAAAATCTTGTGCAATTGATCGAGCTTGGAAGAGACCTGAGCGGATTTGAAGGGACTTTGACCGAAGGAGACCGCCTGTTCATCAGGCAAGGTTGCCTCGCCAAATTTTCTCAGAAAAAAGGTTTTCAACAACGAATGTTCTTCCTGGTAAATAATTTTTTTTTTCTTTAGTGTATTAGATTATATGTTAATGATAAATGAAACAATGCCTGACTGATCTGTATTTCTATTTAGTTATCAGATATGGTACTCTATAGTAATCTCTGTGGACAAACATTCAGGGTTCATGGTCAGATGCCAGTCAAAAGTTTGACAGTTCAAGAAAGAGAAGACAATCCTACCCCTAATTCATTTTTCATTTATTCTGGAAACAGGTAATTCAAATTATGCTGATAGTAAATATTTAATTATCTTTAAAGGTCAATATTTTAATATTTTGTCATATATTTTTTATCAGGGCTATCACCGTTGGAGCCAACAGTCCTGAGGAAAAAGACAAGTGGTTGGAAGACCTTACCTCCGCAATAGATAAAGCTAAAAAAAATTCACTTAATACGAGCTTGCTTAGTTTGAAGTGTTCAAGTAAGTTGTAAATTATTATTATATTTAATTAATTATATTAAGGAGATGTGTTTCTTTATCTTAAATTTTCTGTCAGGCTCTTCGGATGATGTCACTGAAAAAACAGGAAATGAAGAGGTGGTACGAGCAATTCCACAGAGGAGTAATACAACAGTTCATGTTTGTTGGCACAGAAATACCAGCATAAGTTTAGCTGATCAAATCAGGGCAGCTCAGGTATTGAAAGTTAAAACTTTTTTATCTAATCTTTATTTTTGTCCTAGATTTAAAAAAAAATAATGCTTGATATTTAAGATTTAAATTGTTACTTAAATCTTTGTAATCATACTAATTTTGCTTTTCACAGCAGAATTAACTGCCAAATTTTGATTTATTAAAATGCACTTGTTTATATTAGAAGATACAGTTTTCATAAATTCTTATTAAAATTGATCATTACTACTAATGAGTATTTGAGGAAGTGTGAGTGTAATTTTCCTTAACCAGAAAATCTGTTCTCACAGTTTGTAACTAATATTTTGTTTTTTATCTTGCAGAATCAGCTAAGTGGTTATCTGCTTCGAAAGTTTAAAAACAGCAATGGCTGGCAAAAATTATGGGTCGTTTTTACCAATTTTTGTTTATTCTTCTACAAAACCTATCAGGTATTTATATATTTTTATTGAATTTCGGAAAAGATCATATCTGTTCTAACTTTTCAGACTTAGGTAGTGATTATATATTAATTAATGGATTGAATTCCGTTTTATTTCAGGATGACGCACCACTCGCAAGTCTACCCTTATTGGGTTACAGTGTCACGACCCCCTTGGAAAAAGACAATATCAATAAAGATTTTGTTTTCAAGTTGCAATTTAAGAACCATGTTTATTTCTTCCGTGCTGAGAGTGAATATACTTTCTCTAGGTATGTACACTAAGTGTATTTTTTTTTTTTTGGAGGGGGCAGTGGGGATCCTCGCCTTTAAGACTACACAAGGTATGGGCGGAAATTTAAACTGGAATTCGTGACTATTTTATATCAATTGTCTCATATATCAGGTTGCCAGGCAACGGTGGTGCTGTGCACACACGTTAGCCTGTTCGGTCACCCCGCTCACAATAGGTGGTATAATCTAATCATTTTAAAACAACTTTAGACTGACTCTCAACCCAAGTTTTTTACTCTCATCCAGTCAGGTGATTTGCATTGAAACTGTTTGAAAATACTAAAATAATGTGGAGATGGAGAATATTGCTAAGGGAGCAGCACAGAACAAAAATGGTGTTGACTAGCCGTCTTCCTAGAATGTGCAATTTTTATATATGAATATATTTTTGAAAAATCTTAATAGTAACATTAATCAATTTGTGGTATGCTGTATTTAAATATAGATTATTTAAAAAAACGACATATTTTTATAACCACAAAGGAAAAATATTTACTGAAATATAAATCAGCCTTTCAGTTGGCAAAATGATGATCTTTAATTTAAAAATGTTTCAGTTGAGTACTTTAAATAATTTTCCTTGTTGAAAAATTTGAAAAATATAACAGAAATATAAAGAATTGATGAATATTTTTTTAATATTTCTGTCATACTTAATTCCCATAATTTTTGTATTATTAAAAGTACTTTTATTTTTACATTCTGTCAACTGAGATTATCAATTATTTTATAATAAATTAAGTGAGATAATCAATAATTAAATTATTATAATAAACTTTTTTCATTCCTTTTTATTTATAAGTTATTTGAATAAAATTTTCTCAACCGTGTGCTGGAGCATTATGCTCGGTGATGGGTTCTGTGGGCAATTTATTGCTCAGGCAGTTCAACCATAAAAGGTTCTAGTGTTGTTTAAAGCAATACTTTAAAGTTATTATAAATAGAGCATTAATACTTATACACTCTGCTACCTCTGCAGGTGTTCTTTGGTATATTGCTGAAACTTACACCGTAATGGAACAGGGTTTGCTTGAGGACCATGTTGTATTACAAATATTTATATTTAAATATAATTCATTTTATGGATGATAAATATTCAGGACGCAGTCATTATAAAGTTTTTATTAGTGCCAACATTTCAACCCAAACATGTGGGTCATCATCAGGGCGTGGTTCGAGCACTGAAGATGTTCATCAGCGCTAATAAAAACTTTACAATGACTCTGTCCTGAATATTTATCACCCATGATATGTGGAACAGTCGACTAACTTCCTTCATTAATTCATTTTATTGTTTTAATAAGTTAAAGTTTAAGCATTTAGTTTGTTATTTAAAAGTCAAAATTAAGTAAATATAAAAAAATTGTTGGGTTCGCCAGTTATTATTTTGTAAATACTATCTACTCCACCCTCTCATTTCATGATTCTTGCATGTATGAATAAATTGAATGTTTTATTTCAGATGGATGGAAGTTATAGGAAGTGCTACTCAGCATAGCGGTCGAATGAGATTATTCAGTCGGAAAGAGAGTACTCTAGAAAGGCCTTAGATTGTTTCTGACTCAAACATTCCTGTTAAAAACAATTGTTAAGTAGCAGTGATTAATTTAGAACCTTTGACTTCACATTTGTTTAACAACTTAACCGATTAGTCAAACTTTCAAATTTAATCATAAATTGAAATCAATAAAGTGTATATAGAGATTTTATTTAATTATTATTCTTCGTTAATTTATTAATGTATGTTCTTGTCATAAATTGATTTAAATATTTATTTTGTTTCTTTTTAGAACAGAGATATGTAATATCCAACTATTCCATCTATTTAAATTAGATATATGGTATTTATTGTAGTCAATAATGTATATTCAGGGAAAATTATAGTTAAGTATTCCTTACGCAATAACTATGACAATGTTGAATGTATGATTTCAAAGTATATAAATTTATTTAATTTTTATCCATTTGGATATTTAGCATCGTTTATTATGTTTGTTGATCAGAAATAAAACAAAGTTATGTTGTTAAGATCTGTTATGTATTGATACATTGTATTTTCTTATATCTAAGTAGAAGGTTAGTTTCTTTACCATTGGCATTTTGTTTAAGATGCCTCTATTCCTTCTATTATGTTAATTTTTTTTTTTTTTAAACCAAATCTCTATTTCACTTGGGCTTGTTTTTTGTTCCAAAATCCATATGTAGTAAAAATACTATGGGCAGGGCTGACAAAATGTTGGATAACTGATATTACCATTAATTGAAAAAATTACAATATTTATTTTAATTTAAACATTTTTTTCTTCAACTTAAACAAAGCGATGTGACGTGACATAGTTTATTTATAAAAAATATTTATTACTATATATTTTTTATAAACTGTGTTTTAAAAAATAATCTAATAAAACAGTTACATTGGATGTATCTGTGGTTGGCATTCAACTTAAAGAAGTGTTTTTTTCCTGAGCCTCCATACTCTTTCTAAATGTTTCATTATTAAATTAATGTTATTTATCAATGAATATGTTAAATATTGATGTATATGCTATAAATTAATTTATTCCATCTTTGGACAAGTTTAGAGTATGTTAGTTAATAGATAAATCTCACATGTGAGAGAATGAATGTACCATTTTTATTTGTATAATTAATGAAATATTTCTTTTTAGACGTTTAAAATATATTGTTTTAACATATTATGATGTTGTTGTAATGTTATGTAAAGAAATGGTATTTATGACAAAGTTATCAATTTCTAAATGTATATAAATTTATCTTTAGAGGATTTAGAAAATTCTTAACATTGTAATTATCAGAGTTTGACACAATTTAAATTTTATACTTTGTTATATGTATTTTAATAAGTAAAAAATAAATAACTACAATAGCTATTTTGTTTACATTTTTCTCCCGTTGGGTGCAGCAAGATATATGATAAATAATATTAATAAAGTTTATTGGTAGGAAACTCACTGTTCTAGTTTTCAGATTTAGTTCATGTGTGAATTGTTAAATAAATAAAAAGAAAACTTTTGGTTATATTTAAATAAATATTTAAAAGTTTTGGAAATCTTAAATAAATGTAAGATAAAATAATAAGGCATTCAAAGCAAAATGAATTGAAATTCAAAAAACTGCCTCAAACGTTAAGCACTATCCAACTAAGAAATAAAAAAATAAAAAAAAACCTGTACAACTAGTTTACTACTTTTCCAGTTTAGTTAATGTGTGGATTGTTGAATAAAACAAAAAGAAAATATCTAAAAGTTTTGCAAGTCTGAAATCAATGTAAGAAAAAATAAGACTTTCAGAGCAAAATGAGTTGAAAATAAAAAAACTGCCTCAAAAGTTTAGCACTATCCAGGTTTGATCCATGGCTGATGAAAAATTATTAACCATCAGCCGGTCGCAAACCTTGAGATCTGGAACTCAGTGCTCTCTCACTGAGCACTACCTCGCTCCCTAAAGAATTAAGATAAAGGAAAATTACATTTGTTGTAATAACTGTGGCAAGAGGTCAACAACAGGTTGCATAAATAGGAACCCTTCTGTAATACAGTTTTTGCATGTGTTAAGTACAGAAGACCTAATTCAATACAGTCTGTCAGTCACTTATGCCGCTTTTACATTTACTCTTTTCATTTTATTTAATTAATTAATTTAATTACACACGAAAGTTAGAAATTTTTGCAAATATTCATTTAAGTGGTGTAATTACTTGAATGTGAATCGATTCAGTATGATATTATTAAAAAAAGGTAACAACAATCTATCTGCTTAAAAAGTGTGAATTTACATTAATTTTTCAAATGATTTATGATTTACCTTTAAAATTTCTATTATCAAACCATACATGGTAAGTCTTACTTATTGTCCATTTTTTCTAAAATTTGTAATATGGAGTATATTAGTGGGCATCATTCTTGAGAAAAGTTTTTTTCTTCCCAAGACTTCCATTGAAGTCCTATACTGATGAAAAGAAAAATGTCCTATTGAAATAAAGATTCAATTGAATTGCAAATATTATTTATTTCAACATTCAAATTACTGCAGATTTATGGAAACCACTATTAAAAGCTTAATAAATAATTGGAATAATTTTTTTCTGGTTAAAAGGGTTTACATAATTGTAAACTTTTTTCAAGTTAGTCTCTTTTGTTTTACTCTTTTTAAGCATTGTAATATTTTTACCTATAAATAAACATTTCCATATGCTCAACCTTTCTATTTTGGTTGGGGAGGAGGGGGTGATTGATCCCCAAAATAAAGTCTCAAGAGTTTATATCATATATAAAAATTATGAGTGTTAATTAACATAATTATCATGATATGAACAATATACTAATATAATAAGTTGGTTGGTTGTTTTGATGTTTTAGGCCCAAACATCTCATCAGTGCCTTATCCATAAAAATATTTAGCAGGTAGGTTTAACGGGGAAGAAAAGATACATGGGTATATATACATATATATAAATGAATAAATAAAATAAATAAGTAAAATCATATTAAATTTACCTTGTCAGAAATATTATTTCTCTCAGATCTATTGTTGTTGTTTCCCAAAGCCATTGGTATGTTTTTTGATATCTTTAAATAATTTAATTTACGACTATAGAATGGGCAAACTTGGAAAATGTGAGTTATGGACAGGACGCTATTGCAATGCTGGCATCTAGGTGGTGCAAATTTCGAAGAAATTTCCAAAGATTGATTTTATTATTTATTTTCGCGTGATAAAAGTGATTCATAGGCTTCATTCAAATTGCGCAACTTTAAAGTCTATCTTCCAAACTATGCTAGTTAATAGTTTGATGGAATAATTACTATCTTAATTGAAATAACAAAGAAGAATTATTTAAATATTAATTTCCTGCTGAACCAATGTGGTATAATTACAATATATATAAGTACATATTATATGTACTTATATTGTAATAGATGAAAAATTAAAGGATAAGAAAAATAAAAAAAAACACTGGATAATACTGGCCTCTAGCGGCAACAGTTTAAACTATTGTAGTTCTTGTTTCCTGCTGGCAAATAATAAAATTACTATTCTAGCTAAATTTTTTTTTTAATTGAAGTTAAATACTAATTGTTTTTTCTCGAACAGTGACACCATGAAAACTAATTTTCATTAACATTAACTAATTTAATAAACATTAACTTCATTAATTTATAACATTAATTTCATAAACATTAACTAATTTAAGGAGATAGCCCTGAACTTCAGGTCGAAACGTCGGCATATGTAAAAATAAATATTATCATTTATTTTTGCCTTCTTTTTTGACTGACCACCCCAACTATTCTTCTCTTCATTATTAATATTAGAACTAATTTTTTTTTTTTTTTTCCAAGTGGCATAAATGCACTGGGCCATGAAGACCTATTGTATACAGAAATAATTTTAGTTATACCAGATAAAAATATATATATTTTTTTTTATTGTAATTTCTGGTTGTTTTCATTTATTTATATACAGTCCTGAATTATAAATAATTATTTTGAACAAATATAAACACAAAGACAATAACTTTAATAGTATGTAGATGTGTTGCCGACAGTTGTTTCTAAGTGATAATTTAGAGTTGAAAATAGTTTTATTTTTTTTTTAATGAGGATCAAAAAGAAACTAAATTTTTCTCAAAAACAAAAAAACCTTTCTCCCTTGGCTGCATCATATGTTTTGGTGGTAATTAAAACTAAAGGAAAAGCTGGAATACTACACTTAAACCTTGCCAAATATACCTTTTCTGATTTAGTTTTTTTAAACTTTTTGATTTTTCAAAAATTGTTCTAATCACATAGTATTCTTGGTAAGTTAAATGTTATTTCAAAGACAAAAGGGATTCATGGACATTAAGCCCTTCTCCCATACCTTGTTTATCTATACTTCTTCAGTTAGGAATTATAATTTAACTATTTATACTTTATTATAGTTTCCTCATTAACATTTTAACTTTGCCTGATATTCTAATTTTAGGAAACTACCAGATTTTTTTTTTTAAATAAATAAAAAAGGGTAAAATAAAATTTTAAAAAAGTTTGTTCTCGGCTCCTATATTTTCTCTCATTGTTATTTCATGGTTAATTTAGATAGAAATCTATTTCGATTATAAACCAAAATGCCAATGATTCACAAATATAAAATTGAAATAGCAAGTGGTATTCAAATTTTATGATTCTCCCACATTTCTTTTTTTTATATATTTTTTATATTTATATATTCGCTTTGCCTATTTCTTTTTTAATTCATTTTTATAATTACACTTAAATAGCCAACTATATAAAAATAGGATACTAATAGTGGCAGAGATATATATAAAACATACACTTCTTAAATGATTAATTTTCAATATTAGCTTCACCTAAAGTACCTTTAAATTTTTTTATTTGAAACAATTGACCATTTCACAATAATCTCTAATATAAAAGATAGTTAAATATAAAATATGAAAGAATTTGATAATTAACTAAAGGAGAAATAAGAGATCGTAACGGAGAATAGTTTTAATGATGTAGAGATGGTTGACCGTGATATAATATGAGGAGTTGATCGGGGGGTGCGGTCAAATAAATACTAAATTATAGAAATAGTATTATTAAATCTTTTTTGCCGACGTTTCGACCCACTTTGCAGGTGCGTAGGGTAGCGTTTATAATTTTTACCATCACTTTCCCTTTGTTTGAAAATACTTATTTCTGCTAAGAGGGTGTAAGTGAAAGTTGTGTGATGTGCGCACCGCATCAGATTTTTTTTATATTTGACATAATGCACTGTAAAAAGCTTTACCACTACAATCCATGATCAAGGAGTCAGTACTACTTCTTGGTCAATGGTTTTATGAGGTGTAACAGCAGTTGAAAAGAAGTTCCTTAGAATTGTAAAAAAAATACAAAGAGCAAAGAGTATACAGAATGAAATTATTAGGGTTGACAATGACAAAATTAGAGAAGAGCTAAATGTACACTGGGTAATGGGAACTCTAGAGCGTACCTTAATGTGGCAACTGAGGTGGTATGGACATGTCTGCCATATGGACCAGAAAAACCCGATTCAAACCATGAAAGTGAGACATGATAGGAAGATCAGGATGGTGTTCCAAGAACTTCTTATGTCACTCAATTGGAATAAAATGGAGACAAAGTAAAGATAAGAAATGAGGAACTTGCCAGGGAAAGAAACAACTTATAGCTAGAAGACTGAAAGGCAAATGGTTGGAAGAAAAAGAAAGTAAAACTAGAAGATAGACATTGATTTGACAATGTTCATTCTCAACTGCCACTGAATTTCGTATCACGATGATTTCTGTCGTACAAATACTAAATGAATGGATCCATCATGAGCCATGGAATCATCTAATGGTGATTAGAATTCATTAATTTTGCTTGAACGCTGATTATATTTATAAGTTTATTGATAGATATTACTGTTTCTTTGTACTCTCTAAAATTGATGCAAGTTAGTTATCATGAAGAATATTATTAAACAATAATAAGTACCATAAATAGGTCCTAAAGATGACTGAATCAAAAAATTTATAATAACATGATGAAATGTATGCTTTATGTATGAAATGTGCAGCCTGACCAATAAAATTTGAGTAATGAAATTGTTTTAAAGGTCTAGCTAGCTATATAAAACATACAAATATATTATAAAAATCTTAAATGGTTACATATGATCTGGTTTACTCAAAAAACAAACAACTATTTTGCATGAATGAAGATTAGGGGAAAATTTTGTTTTTAACTATTATTTATTTTAAAATACACAACCTCTAAAATTAACAATTTCAAATATCACAGAAACTATGATGTAGGTAAAATATTGAGTATAACAGTTTAAGCACTAAGAATGGCATGATACATGGCATTTAACAATCACAAATATTACAGGTTACGATAAAAACATTGTTCAATTTGATTAGCTCATTTAGAGAATATACATTAATATATTATAATCGTGCATAAATATCAATCTTAAAGAACGATTAGTATTATTTTCATGTACTTATTGTATGTTGAATCACATTAGTTCTTTTCTCGTAATAACATGTCTTAACTGATCATGAATAGAATATGTTAGTACAACCACTCAAATATTGAACAATAACCAACATTGTGAGCAAATGACAATTATTGTTGGATTGAGTTGAGTTAGAGCTAGAACCGCCTGGGAGGCCTGGCCCTGGGTATTGTTCGTCATTTCTCCTGGTTGTAACCGCTCACCATATTCTTTATAGAGACAAAAACTTGAGCAAGAGCATCCGGATTGACACCACTTTCGCACAACCGAATACAATAGGTCAAACTTTGAGCATCCAAGTCAGTGTCCAAAAGGGTGGCAATTTCCATCAAAATTTGAAACATTTCTCGAGCACTCTCTATTTCCCTTTTCTCCTTATCCGAATGGGCCTGATCCAAAGCCATTTTAGCTTAATGGTACTTTTAGTTTCTAGTCGATTCCTCTTTCACTTATTCATACAAGCAATATCAAAACCAAACAACAACAAAGAGGTTTCATTACAGCTGTTAGTAGTTTTCTTCCCGCCTCAAAAGAGTGCAGCATATGTCAGCTTCTCTTGGCGGGCGCTTCAATTACCACAAAAACGGAACGTCAGCAAACTCATAAAGACATTTTTGAATTCACATCCTGACCATTTCTCTTTCTTAAAACAAAAAAAATCATAATTTACAACACATAACCAATATTATTTTTCATATATTTTCCCCTTAATGCTATTTAATGAATTTAAAAGATTGGATTATTATATATTTGTTCAACCAAATAATTAATAATGATACTTGGTTGTTTCCTCACTATATTCCCTTTCTCGTTCCTTTAATATATTTTTCCAGTTTTTGGGTTCATTTTCGAGCTTTCCTTCATTTGAGACTAAATACTAACAATTAGTTTCGGTTACCTAGAAGAGAATTTAGTTATCACGAAGAGGCAAATACACAATTCGCAAATGTGGAACTCTTTCGCATTTTCGTTTTTGCTGAAGATCAAAAGAGGATACCAAATCCACGAATGCTGTGGGATTACTTTTCTCGAAGATTTTACTCATAAACGAAAAATTATTGATCTTGAGATACAGGTAAGTGTGAAACAAATGAAAATGGCGAGGAATCTATATATGTATACTGTCCTCACTTGGCAGCCTTTTTTTTCATTGGTCCATATTTTTTTCTATGAGTGATCTGAGGCAAATACTTAAAAAATTACTATGTTCTTTTATTTAATTACAATACAAGTGCTTCAGTTACTAAATTTAAGCCGTATCAAGAAAAAATATCATCCATAAAAGTATTATTGTTACTGTAATTACGGCTATTAAAAATTGAAATGGAGAGATTAGCCCCTCACCAAAATTAAATCCTGAATTACCTACTAATTAATCATAAGCATGTAGTTAAGGTTTAGCATTGAAACCTTGAATATCGTCACTTTCAATAAACGTCAAGCTTTCGTTTCGAAATAAATGACAGTTTTCTGGCGGGTGAATAGGTTGGACTTGGATGATTCCAGTCTTTACTCTAGTTTCAATGGTCGACCATCCATGTCGGCAAACCACAAAAGCAACTAAGGATGGAAAGTAGAAGAGAAGTAATAATTTCAGTCCTAATTGTGGGATAGAAAAATGTTTTTATTTCACTAAAACACAATTTATACTTACCTACATTCCAACAACCTTTTTTTTTTCCCTCTTCCCTTCCTCGTCTTTTAGACTATAAGGTTTTTTTCCGGGTCACAGGGTGAGTGCGGGGGATTAATGCCCAGAGTTAAAATCTCCCCGGCACCGGGATGCAAACTCCTAATTATTTTTCCAGAGAGAAATACTTTATAAAAGTAATGCTGCCCTACTAAGTAGGGTTGCTTCGTACACAGCATACTTATCAATCCATACGAACATTAATTTTATATTATCTTTTTCTATTTTATATATATATATATATCTTCGGTTATCAGGTTGCAGGGCAACGCGCGGTGTTGTGAACACGTATTAGTCTGCTCGACCATCTTACCCGTTAATCTTCTATTTTAATTTTTTTTTCTTTTTCGACTATTTATTTAAAATTGAAAAACAACTCCAGTGATTTTTTTTTTTTTAATTTTCAGTAAAAATTATCTTCCTTCAGATACATTTATAAAACAAAGTTTTTATTTTCTTGAATTACCCGAAATTCATCTACGACCAAAAAATAAAGGAAAAATACTAAGGGTACTTGTGTATTCCCGAGTTCTCTCGAAATTCGAAGAAAAAAAAAAAAAAATAAGATGAAACAAAATAAAATGAATTCCATCACTCTCTCTCTCTCTCTCTCTCTCTCTCTCTCTCTCTCTCTCTCTATATATATATATATATATATATATATATATATATATATATATTCCCCAAAACCGCTGACATTTGCAAATATTCCACATAAACTATATTGCACAACTCGCATTATCATCTCCCTAAAATATTTTTCTTGTATTTTTTAAAATTAAAAACAATTATTTGCTGAAATTTTAGGAATTTTGGCTTCGTAACATCGTGATCAATGTATTGTCTTCCATAAATCTCTTTTAGGTCAAGAATCTAGCAGTATCTACTATTCATATAGTTATTATTATATTTACAAAAATGAAACTACGTGAAAAGAAATGGATTTATTTATTGGATTTATAGTGTTGAGAATATTTACAAAATTGAACTTTATGTTACCCCAACCCTCAGAGATGTAGGACTACACACAGACCCGGATCTGTTACCACCATGCCCAAGTTGTGCTCCACCCTCAGACTATTCGGGATGGTTAACATTCCGGTTAACCTTTGCCTCTACGCAATTAGACTGTTTAATAGTCAAAACGGGGAGGAAATGGAGCATGGAAGGAAGGCTGTGGACAAAAAGAGAAAGCTCCCGATGTTTTTTCCAACCGAGGAACGCACAATTATCCTCGACTTCCTCCGGGTTAGGAGAGTCATTTCTTCGTCATCGTACTGCGAAGATATCTCCTACGTTGGTAATTGTACATGATTAGCTTAGAGAAACCGGTTCGCCAGAAACTGTATGCAGGCGCGAACAAAATTAGTCGTACTCCCATGTTAAGGTAATAATTTGTTGAGACCAGTCATTACTGTACTGTGAGATGAAAAATTCTGCTTCAATTCGACTCATACGGATCTTTTTTGACAGGCTTCGGATCTAAACCTATATTTAGGGCTGAGCCACCCCTCTCCCCCCTCCAAAAAGTAGTAAAGTATATATTTTGTACATTGGTTCAAATTTGTTTCTGTTAATACATAATAAAAAGCACACAAATAATAAAAATACCAACTCGTTTTAAAGTCTTACGTAAACATATATTTACAAAAAATAGTACTGAGACTGTATATATAACTATTAAATATAAGAAGGTGTCATGAAAAAAATATAAGCAACGTTATACCAAAGTTATTCTTTTTGGTTCAGATTAATTTTGTAATAATTTAAAAAAAAAAAAGAAGACTAAAAATTAAATCGTGGATCCGCAATTGGCTATGCTTATGCTATGAATTTCCTTTTATTCTGTAGGTAATAAAACATATCTGCTTAATTGATTCGTCGTTTTGAGGATTTAATTTTAAGGGGGACTTCAGCCTGAAAGTATTTATATATATGTATATAACGATAATAACTTGGAAGAAAAAGAAAGAAACTAATGAAATGGTGTTTGAAGTGATTTTTGAAGTGCAGTTATAAATATATTTACACGAACAATAATACTTTTAACGATAATTTTTTAATGATGTAGAGATGGTTGACCGTTGATATGATATGAGAAGGAGTTAGTTGAGGGTGCGGTCAAATAAATAAAAAAATTAAAATATATAAATAATTTTAATTTTTGCCTATTAAATTAATTAAAAATTAAAATTATTTATATATTTTAATTTTTTTATTTATTTGACCGCACCCTCAACTAACTCCTTCTCATATCATATCAACGGTCAACCATCTCTACATCATTAAAAAATTATCGTTAAAAGTATAATTGTTCGTGTAAATATATTTATAACTGCACTTCAAAAATCACTTCAAACACCATTTCATTAGTTTCTTTCTTTTTCTTCCAAGTTATTATCGTTATATACATATATATAAATACTTTCAGGCTGAAGTCCCCCTTAAAATTAAATCCTCAAAACGACGAATCAATTAAGCAGATATGTTTTATTACCTACAGAATAAAAGGAAATTCATAGCATAAGCATAGCCAATTGCGGATCCACGATTTAATTTTTAGTCTTCTTTTTTTTTTTAAATTATAACAAAATTAATCTGAACCAAAAAGAATAACTTTGGTATAACGTTGCTTATATTTTTTTCATGACACCTTCTTATATTTAATAGTTATATATACAGTTATACATATGTTTACGTAAGACTTTAAAACGAGTTGGTATTTTTATTATTTATGTATTTAGCTCAGAACATTAACAGAAACAAATTTGAACCAATGTACAAAATATTTATACTTTACTACTTTTTGGAGGGGAGAGAGGGGTGGCTCAGCCCTAAATATAGGTTTAGATCCGAAGCCTGTCAAAAAAGATCCGTATGAGTCGAATTGAAGCAGAATTTTTCATCTCACAGTACAGTAATGACTGGTCTCAACAAATTATTACCTTAACATGGGAGTACGACTAATTTTGTTCGCGCCTGCATACAGTTTCTGGCGAACCGGTTTCTCTAAGCTAATCATGTACAATTACCAACGTAGGAGATATCTTCGCAGTACGATGACGAAGAAATGACTCTCCTAACCCGGAGGAAGTCGAGGATAATTGTGCGTTCCTCGGTTGGAAAAAACATCGGGAGCTTTCTCTTTTTGTCCACAGCCTTCCTTCCATGCTCCATTTCCTCCCCGTTTTGACTATTAAACAGTCTAATTGCGTAGAGGCAAAGGTTAACCGGAATGTTAACCATCCCGAATAGTCTGAGGGTGGAGCACAACTTGGGCATGGTGGTAACAGAATTATTTATATATTTTAATTTTTTTATTTATTTGACCGCACCCTCAACTAACTCCTTCTCAGATAATTTTTTAACATTTTTTTTCATGACACATGGTTATAATCCGTGGTACAGACCCCTTTTTATCAAATTATCAACATCCAACTGAAACTTCGTAAATAGCCCCATCTCATCGTAACCTTCAAATATTTTATTTACGACAATTTCCAAGAATTCGGGCGTTTTCAATCTGGAGATCGGCAAACTTTGTCTATTTAATCAAGCACTAAAAACTCATGGATTCCCATTTTCTTTCCACTTGAATTGTAAGATAATATGTTCACAAAATCGAAAAAAAGGTGGCCTACAAAAATGTTGGGAAGTTTGGCCTACATAATCTCGTTATTTTTCGGGGTGGAGGTCACGCCAAACGGACCAATATTTTGGTAGGCTACATTTTTTTCCAGCTATGTGTTCATATTATTTTACGATTCAAATAGAAAGCAAATGCGCATTCATGAGTTTTTAGTATGTA